TTTGAGTGAACTGCTGGATGCTACAAACGGACAAGGTGGCTGAGCCTTGTAATGAACGCTTGACAGAAAGTCTGACGAATTGAATAAATGGTCACCATGCATGCAAAGCTGACGTTGTGTCGCGAATTTGGATTTTGGAATATGCTTGCAGTATTGGATCACCTAAATCGGCATTTTGCTGGGGTGACGTGTATGGACATTTGCATGAGAAAAGCAATGGCGCGTACAGCATCATCGCCATGTTGGAATTCACCGGTGATTCCTCTGTAACCTTGCTTCGCGATCCATCAACCATGCAAGAGGCAAAAAGTAGTAGTAGTAGTAGTAGTAGTAGTAGTAGTAGTAGTAGTAGTAGTAGTAGTAGTAGTAGTAGTAATAATAGTAGTAGTAGTAATAATAGTAGTAGTAGTAGCAGTAGTAGTAGTAGTAGTAGTAGTGGTAGTAGTAGTAGTAGTACCACTACTACCGTAGTAGTAGTAGTAGTAGTAGTAGTAGTAGTAGTAGTAGTGGTTGTAGTAATAGTAGTTAGTAGTAGTAGTAGTAGTAGTAGTAGTAGTAGTAGTAGTAGTAGTAGTAGTAGTAGCAGTAGTAGTGGTAGTAGTAGTAGTAGCAGTAGTAGTAGTAGTAGTACTAGTACTAGTACTAGTACTAGTAGTAGTACTAGTACTAGTACTAGTAGTTACTAGCAGTACTAGTAGTACTAGTAGTACTAGTAGTACTAGTAGTACTAGTAGTACTAGTAGTACTAGTAGTACTAGTAATAGTACTAGTAGTACTAGTAGTACTAGTAGTACTAGTAGTACTAGTAGTACTAGTAGTACTGGTAGTAGTACTAGTAGTACTGGTAGTAGTACGAGTAGTACTAGTAGTACGAGTAGTACGAGTAGTACTAGTAGTACGAGTAGTACGAGTAGTACGAGTAGTACGAGTAGTACGAGTTGTACGAGTAGTACTTGTTGAATTAGTACGAGTACGAGTGGCTTACAGCCTGTTTCGACCAGGGCTTCCCTTAAGGGCCGAAGCCCACAGTTTCGCTCTTGCAGACGTTTCCACCGCCTTTTGGCCAAAGCTCCAGACATGAGAGTGAAGAGACACCCCCCACAGAACCGATCCACCCCCAATCATTTGAGGCTTCGAACATCGGAGCCTGCCACCCCACCAATTGGCCATTTTGGCCCGCCTGCCTCCCCAACGGAAGGCTCCTCCACCACAGCCCCTCTCACAGCGGACACTCTCCCCCCCTCTCTCCCTTCTCCGCCCAACCCCACCCCCCCCTCACAGCCTCAGGTGAGCAGTGGCCGTGATTCCTGGGCCGAGGCCCACGATACTCAAAACAAGCAGCACACCCGAGCACACTGGTTCAAGACCCACTGCCGTAGCCCTCAAGAACACGGCAGACAGAGGCATTCCACACAGCTGCGCTCCAAAGTGCATCTGAAAGGGGGGTTCTGGAACACCACGGGCCTTCTTGAAGCTGGCAAGATCCACACCTTGATCAAGATCATGCAGACGCATGGTCTTGACTGGCTGGCCCTCACAGAGACCCACGTGAAGCAACAGGATCGCTTTATGATCGATGGGTACACCGTCACACATAGCGCAGATGACAAGCTGGATGCCAAGGGCAATCCGGTACAGACCTTCACGGGGGTGTCCCTGATTACCTCCCCGCGGCTCACACCTTGCATTCTGGACATCGTTGCCACTGACGGTCGCTTCCTCTCTTTCAAGATCGACACAGCCGAAGCCCCTCTCACAGTTCAGGTGGTGTACGCTCCTCACAATCAACGTGAGCAGCCGGTCCGCGATGCCTTCTGGCAGTCACTCGGGGACATCCTTCACAGCCACCCCGCCAGCGAACCCCTTTTAGTGGTGGGCGACTTCAATGCGCAACTGCTTGACGAACTCTCGGCCAATCGCGGCAGTGTCGGGCCCCACGCCCACTTTGGAGCGAACGTGGCCGATGAGACCTTAGCCTCACAGGCTGGCGAGGATGACTCTTTGTCCAATCACGCGCAGCTGTTCGAGATGTCGGTCAGTCACGACCTGTGTTTTCCACAGACGTGGATGGACAAAGCCGAGAAACACCGGATGACACACCAGCGCCCGAACGGTGACCTGGTTCAGCTGGACCACGCCATCACTAAGTTCGCCTGGAAGAATATGGTCACTGATGTGCACACCCTCCCGAACGCTGCTCTCAACAGCAACCACTTTCTCACCAGAGTCACACTCTCCTTACACACAGCCTGCCACAAGAGAGCAGCACCCACCCCCAAGCCGACCAGACGCCCTGACGCACAGTCCATTCTTTCTTTCAACACACACTTCACAGAAACCCTTCAGCATAAGCCAGCCTTCGAGGAGCCTACCCCACACGAGGCCGAAGTGGAGGACGTCTCCCCCCAGCCTTCACAGTCGAACACCGACCAGCAGAGGCTGGACCAGCAATGGCAATCGATCAAGGATTCCATTTTGCAGTCCATGGAGAAGCATATCCCCGCACAGGACAGCAAACCCAAGCATCCCTGGATTAGCCAACAGACGTGGGAGCTCATAGAACAACGAACTGCCGCTCGCCAGAGCCAGGATCTGGACACTGAGCGCGAACTGCACAAGACCATCCGCTCACAGGCCCGCAGGGACAAGCAACAATGGCTCAAGGATCGCCTTCAGGAGAGCGAAGAGACCATGGACGCTCGGGACAAGTGGCGCTGGATCAAGCGCATCCGCTCGGACTACAGGCCCCGTACGGTCACTCTACACGACTCCAACGGCAAGCCCACCAGCTACAGCAAGCAGGCCGACACCTTTGCCAAACACCTGTCGGAAGTTCAGTGGGCCCCGCCACCAACAGACTACACAGGACCCACCCACAAACTGACGGACGAAAGTTCAGTCAACATGGAACCCATCACGATGGAGGAGCTCAACGCCACCCTCAAAGGCATGGCTTCACACAAAGCCCCAGGCCCGGATCAAATTCCGGCAGAGGCCTTACAGTGGCTCACACCAGCCAATCGGCAACCGTTACTGGACCTCTTCAACGACGCATTGCTCACAGGTCTGGTGCCGGAAGAATGGTCAACGGCAGTTGTGGCTGAGATTCACAAGCGAGGCACCATGGCGGACCCCAACAACTACCGCCCCATCGCACTCCTCAGCACCTCTTACAAGCTCTTCGCCAGGCTCCTCCAGAAACGCCTGGAGCAGGCGATAGACCACAAGCTGCGACCCACACAGTATGGGTTTAGAGCCACCAGATCGACCTCACAGGCGATTCATGTGGCAAGGAGGCTGTTGGAGCGAGCCGAACGCTGCGGTTCGACTCTGTACGTGCAGCTTCTTGACTGGAGCCAAGCATTTGACAAAGTCCACCCACAAGCAGTAACGGTGGCACTCGAACGGCACGGAGTGACGCCGTCGTTCGTCAATCTGATTGGCTCGATTTACAACAACCCCTCCTTCACAGTCAAGGCAGCAGGACAACAGAGCCAGCAGTCTCTCGCAAGCTCGGGCATTCGCCAAGGCTGTCCGCTTTCTCCCTATCTCTTCCTGGTGGTACACAGCATGATCATGGCCGATGTCGACGCGGAGCTGCAGCAGCATGGCCAGATGCTTCCGTGGCTTTTCAGCCAGAACCAACCATTCTACGACCTCGCTTACGCAGACGACATGGCCATCTTCACAGGTACTGCGGAAAGGGGCCAGCAAATTCTGCACAAGATTCAGGAAGTTGCCGCGCACAGCAACCTCTCGTTGAATCTTAAAAAGTGCGAATTGCTTCGCTCACAGCTGGCCGTCAATCACATACACTTCCTCACAGGTGAACTAATGAAGGAAGTCACACAGGCCAAGTACCTCGGCGTTGTCCTCAGCCAGGACTCGTCCAGCAAGGCGGACATCACCGCAAGATTGGGGAAGGCGCGGAAGCACTTCAACACCCTGCACGCCTTTTGGCGACACACAGGCCTGAGCGTGGCGTGGAAGCTGCGCATCTACAACGCGGTCTTCATCCCCATGATTGCTTATGGCATGGAGTCCGCTGCGCTCACCACAGCAGACCTCCACAGGCTTGAGGCCTTCCACTCACAGTCACTCCGCAAGATCCAACGGATCAAAGCCACCTACTACACCAAGATCCTCACAGACAACCCCCTCGCACAGACCATCCGAAATGAAGGAGTCCGAGCCCTTGCCGACCAGCCCCCACTCACCCACCACATTCACAGGGCACAACTAAAGTTGTTTGGTCATGTTTTGAGAGCAACTCCGAGCAACCTGGAGCGAAACTGTGTTTTTACGAAGGCGTTTGTATATAGAGGGGGTACAGTACAGGCAGGCATACGGCCGGGACGTCGTAGACTGCACTGGGCCGAGCAGTGTGCCGAGCTAGCATGGCACTGGCTCTCGCATACTCCACATGCTATGACTTCTCTAGCCCCTAGTTTTCCTTTTGCCTTCCTTTTGCTTCACAGGCTGGCTGTTAACCGTCCGGCTTGGCTTCAGTTAGTGGGGCTGCCAACGTGCAAGAAGCTCCTCAGGTCTAGCGCTTTCTTTTCCTACTCACAGTGAGTACGCTGATTTGTGTCTGCTTTGCATAGGGCCGCCCAAAAAAACGAGTGGAGTAGGAGTAGGAGAAGGAGTAGGAGTAGGAGCAGGAGCAGGAGTAGGTGGCTTCGAAGATACCTGGCATTTGGCCTTGTCGATGCCCGTAGCCTAGCACTCTGGTATCAGGTCTCGGACCGTGATATGTGTGCTTCCGCGCCAACTCTTCTTGCAAGCGCCCAGTCGCAAACCACAATAAGACGAAGGAAGGGTGCTGCCACCTGTTACAGTACTCAACGCCCACTCGGTCGATGAAAACTTTTCGAGAATTGTCGAGGCTCTGACAGGCAGAGTCATGTTGCGACTAGACGATGCCGTTGCTCACTCTAGAAAGGACTCCGCATTGCCCTGTCTTGTGCAACGTGCAGTTACGAAAGTCATGCCACCTTGAGGCGCTGCAAGAAGCAAAGGATGCCATTTCCTCGAGGATGCGAGGCCGCGCGCACTGAACCTGCAGGCAGCCTGTAAAGTGTGAAGGCCCGGATGTATTTTGCAGGCTCGTTGTCATTTCTCCAGCTTCAACACCAGCGTTCCGATCTGATTTTTTGCTGCACCCCGCTTTTGCTATGGATCGCATCTGTTTTTGAGCCGTGCTGTAGCGGTGGTGGCGAACTCGCATGTTACACGCAGACCAAGGCTTCAAGACAGTCCCTGCCGAGTCCCCAGAACCGGGCCAATTTCATTTGTTAGCTGCGGAGTTCTGCGCGACAATGTGATGCAAAAGTCATGTCGGGCAGGTTACATATGCAGGCTTGTGAGCCTCAAGGAAACGTCTCCGGCGATCTTCAGTGCGAACTGGTTTATCGAGCTCCAGCTACTGCAAAGTCCATAGTCCAGGACCAACAGCCTAGGGTGACAAGGAGGACAACTGTCAAGTGTCATCGTTTGGCAAAGGAAAGCAGGCTGAAACATTTCCAGAGAAGGCTTCCGGTGCCCACCTAGGTCAGGGACTGCAAGCAAGTCATCCGACAATAGAAAAAGGGAATTGCAAGTCCCGAGGAGCAAACACAAGCAGCTTCTACCGAATGGGACAATTGCTTCACTTCTGCTTCTCAGGAAAGCTTTGCTACAGCAATGGCGGCGGCAAGAGCGGTTAGGCACACCAGTTTCTCGTGGCTCCTCTATGCATGGCATCTGCTGGTCGTTGAATATTGAAAAGTACATATGCGCAACGCTTCTTTCCTCCCAGCAAGCCCTAGCGGCCATAGCATGCCTCTCAAAGCATGCCTCTCAAAGTGCAGTGGCGCGAGAGCTCGTGGCTTCATCCATGGTGGCACTAACGTAGAAAGCGAAGAGAGAGAGAGAGAGAGAGAGAGAGCGGTACTTCCTGTGGCTGTTTGGAAGAAGCGAGAGAGAGAGACAGAGAGCCCTTTTAGTCTCAAGTGGTTCAAGAAGACCGAGGACACAGCCGAGCCCATCCCCTGAGAATCGGGGATGGGGTTGCTCTAACGAGCAGGCCACAGGGACTGCCTGTGGCTCTTACCCCAGAGCAAAGCCAAGAGAGAGATAGCCCGGGGAACCCGTTTCGAAATGTGTTCGTAAGGGTAAGCCCACCCTGTCAAAATGACTGGATGGGGCCGCTCCACGGAGTGGGGGGCAAGGACTGCCTGCCTCCCACCTCCCAGAGCAAAGCAAAGCAAAGAGTGCAGAGCTCGAGGGAAACCAAGGAAGCCAGATTTAGAACGGATGATGACTGAGACTTCATACCCAATATACTTTCCTTGCTCTTTCGGTCGATATGTTCATCCACAATTTCTCACTCCCCTCAAAAGCCCATTATGGGTTGGCCGAGTGCCCGGGAGGCTTAATTCGCCCCTTATGCCTCTGTCCGTTAACCTGGCGGCAGATGCGACAGAAACAGTAGCAGCACTTCGGCTCCAGTTCGTCTGTGGGCCAGACACCCGTAGTGATGTTGATGTGCGAGCAAAGCAGCTAGGACACCTTGTCGTCGGCAGATCGCCAGGTGTTCATGGCCGTGCAAATAACCCGAAACTCGACTCGTGCTCGGCGCAGTCTTTAGATCCGGGAGCATTGACAATTTGGAATAATTGCCTTGGAACCTGCTATATGCAATGGCCATGTCATGGCACGCCACCTTAAAGACTGCGGGAATCTTGATGTTGGAAGTGTTAAAACTTCTCCGCTGTGAGAGTCGAAACCCTGTCCTGGGTTCTTGCAGCTTTGACAGTTGTCCTGAAAGCCGTAACGCGAGTGAGTCCAAACCCTATTCCGGTCGATAGTGTGTGGTTGAAGCAAAACAAACAGTTGGGCAGGTTCTTGTGGAATGCAGACCGGCTGTAGGTGGTTATTGATCATAAAGCTTTGGTATCTGGCACAGGCGACTTGCCGTTCGAGTGGATTCACCATCGCACCTCGTCCAGCATGATCCTTTGTGCGGTTTTTCAATGTCTGTGCCGTACTGAGCCAAGGCTCATTGAGTTGGCTGGTCGGTTGGACTACGTTGCCAAAGATCGGTTTGGCAGCCGCTTGATAGCTATCAGTTCTCAACACGATTCTTCTGCGACAGCGCGTTTGCCGGTTCTTTCCGGCTGTTTTCTTTTTTTTGGGCGAGGGTGTTGGCGCGGGAAGGAAGCAAGGAAGGAAGGCAGCTGCAAGGAAGGAAGGAGGAAGGCAAGCAGGAAGGAAGGAAGGAAATAATGCCGTGTGTACGCAAGTTAGCAAGGAAGAACAGAAGGAAAGGAGGAAGACAGGAAGGAAGGAAGCAGAGGAAGGAGGAAGATAACCTCCCTCCTCACCCCCTCGCCCTGATCCTTTCTGTGGGACGGTTTGGGCCTTGAGCATGGAGTTTGGTCCCCCTCCGCCTCCCCCATTCTGCACATGCCATGAAGGCATGAAGGCTCCAGGCCCTTGTAGTTGCGGGGATACCTTTGGCCCAGAACACAGAGCGACTTTCGAGACTGCGAGCGACGTCGCCAACCCAAAACTCCAAAACCCCATGCAGCTGCTCTTGAAACAACGCTACTACAGCCAAGAGCCCCAGAGCCGCAATAGTGTCAGGATTGTATAGGCTGGCATCGAGTTGGCCGACAAAATGTGTGCGGAACTGTACCGAGAGCCGAATTTATCGTTTTACATTCTAGCGTTGGGATTGCCCTTGAAGTGATTCGCTGCACTTTTTTGTGAAATATTGCATACACGGATAATCACGCATAGCTCGCGAGTGCCGAGACTTTGCAATGCTTCATCTGTGCAAGGCTCAGCGGACGCCTTGAACAGAGTCAGAGGCACGATCCGTTAGGCTACACGGAACTCAAAGCAGATTCATGAGCATGGATCTGGAAGGTCTGATCGAAGATATGATTGCGCGCGCCTCGGGACTAAGAGTCCCAAGTGTTTCCTGATCTTTCTACTCTGCCCCAGGGCCGCCTGCAGTCGGAAGCCCACGCAGAAGCTGATCACCAGGTGTACCGCGCATGTCGTATGCGTGAGATCTGGCATCTAACGCTCGGGTAAGCTCAGGGCGCTTATATGGTCTTCAACTGTCGCGCAATATCTTGACGGGCCTTTGGCTGGCATGTGTCTGTCTATCATGTTCCAAAAGTACTAACTTCATTTTGACGTGTCGTGATCTCTTCTCGTTGGCACATACTTGCAGACTAAAGGTGTATCTAGAGCACTAGCCTTGCTAATTAACAACAAGCACTTAGTTGTCCTTCCCCCCTGCATGTTTGCATGCTCGTGTATTTCTGGTGTCGTTCCCAGGGCGTCCTGCTATGTTGCAGGTGTCCTTGTCTGTTTCGAAACTCTTTGTCCGTGTCGAAACATCCGGTAGCCCCGACCCATTGACCACGGGAAGCATTAACGCATTAACCCGTTTGGCCATTTTTTGTCAATGACACAATCATTGTGACCAATCGGACTTGGGAGGCCCCAACCCAAAAACCACATCCTGTTACACTGGTATTATACGGTGCTATACCATGCTATACCATACTATGCTGTGGTGGTATGCAATGCTGTAGCCTTTACTAGTGGACTACTATATAGACTTGTACTATAGACTTATACTACATAATGTAATACTCTAAGAGTTGGGGAGAGACCTGAGAAGAGGTGGATGGAATTACTGAAGCTTTAGCAAAGTTGCTGTTTTCTGACTTGTGCATCGAGACCTAGGGTTTCGCAGGGAAGTCATCCCCGCGCAGGCTTTCTGCGACAAGGAGATGTCTGTCGCTTCGGTGAAGCGCTTCGACCTCTCGAGAGCGACTCAGCCTTTGAAGGATCTGGACTTGAGAATCTCCGAGGTGACGATAAGCAATCAGACGTTGACAAACTTTCGTCGGAGGCCTATTGTTGGACTTCTTCTGACTTGGTCCATCAGGCAAAGAGAACCATCCACCGCGTGAGCATGAGCTGACGTAAGGACGAAGATGGAAGAAGCCAGGTCAGAGCTCACCCTTTTGTCACAACAGTCTTCGAGACTGCGGCAGGATCGATTTTATTGCTCTTTCTTTAAGTTTTAGGCAGTCGTCTTTGAATGTCGTGTCTTCCCCACTTACAGCTGTCCTTGCATGATGGTGTAAACCGTCAGTCCACCTATCAGACATGCTTCAACCACTTGAAGGTTGCGCTGCCATTTGGTGTCAAGGCACGTGGAGCCCCGGAATTGATTCTGGAATCTTGGTGGTCTGTGTTCCAGTTTCTTCTTTGGCCGACACACACCTCATTACGCGTTGGGCACTTCGATGCGCTTCCTGTCTGCGTATCATGAAGGAGGACGCACAGCAGCACCACACCGGGAGAACATGGTCTGGTGGTGTACGACAAATCATCAGAGATGCAAGATCATCAACCCGGCCGTGGCTACAGTGCACGGCAGCAGGAGGCTGGCTTCGTTGATTTATTTTCAAGGACAAGCGAGGGAACCAAACCAAGAGCTGCGGAGAGCCGGCGTGGATCCATCTGTTCGGACCTGCACTGATTTCATTTTTGGAAACAGAGAGACAGAGATGCAGGACATATGCTCTCTCTATTCTCTCTGCTCATCAGCTTCTGGGCTCGGGGAATACAGTGCTTCTCGATCCAGATTCCGTCTCTGCAAGCAATGGCCGCGCTCTTCCATGCCAGTTGAACTCTCTGCTCACGAGGCTGCCAGGATTGCCCCTAAAAACAGTAGCAATGCTCTTCAATGCTTGGTGAGGTCTCTTCCCGATGCCGCTCGGATGTTTTCATGACATCTGCCCATGTTCAACAGCGTCACTCATGCACGTGGACTTCGAAGGGGCTTGACTGCGTCAAACAGCTTGTACTTGCAAGAACAGCACAACATGTCGGGGCTGTCCTACGGAGCTACTCGGCTACATGACATGGCTTGCTTTGGCTTCAACGGCAAGCCTGCCAAAGCTAGGCGGCAATCGCCTTGGTCCGGGATGAGACGCCTGCGTCCCAAATTCTGGAAAAAGTGTCCCGAATATCACGATGTCCACGTCTTTCACAGAACCAAGATTATCACTCCTGTGTGGAAAGAAAGAGTGGAAATACCCACAGGCTCCCCGAAAGAACGCAAATTTGAGAGCAACTTCCGGGACTTCTCGGACTTTTGGCCACCACAGGCTCGGGGAACAAGCTGCATTCCGACACCGCTGCGCCTTGATGCGCCTTGGCCCCGGCAGAGCACCTGCTGCCCCAGGCAGCTCTGCGGCAGGAACGCATTTCTTATTCTAGATTGGCTTCTCAGCGCACTCGTCGATCAAAAGAACTAGGCAGTTCGAGGAAGAAAGAGAAAACCGATAAGCACCGTACATTCGGCAACGCATGGCGTTGTGACCCGGTGGATCTTGGCATGGCACACTGCAAATTGAGACTTCTGAGATCCGCCTACGGAAACCGATAGAAAACTGCTGAGCCATGTTTCTTGAGTAGAGCTGCTTAGATTTGTGCCTGTGGTCTGTTTGGCAATCGCAGGAACTAGCTGACCTCGCGCAGTCAAGCGTTGAACTGGACAAGGCATGATCGCCAATTTAAATTACATGTAGTGAGCCGGCTGCTGATGTGCTCTGGGTGAGGTCCGGCAGGAGGAGAAGGTCTTGTTTGAGAAAGCGCACAAAGACACGCAGGACTTGCCGTCGATGTCCGTGGAAAGATGCTTTCCAACTACGTGTTGCTATACATATCCAATTGCCTCAGCTGTCAGTCGCTTTGCCAGGAAGGCTTGGAGGGATTACGAGTGGCTTTGCAGGTGTTGCAGGGGCCTCAATTGACTTCGAAGGGCCAACCAAGCAAGAACAAATTTCACATTGCAGGAGAACGTTTTATGCCAAAATTGGTGGCACTGGCATTTGCCTCAGCTTAGTTGAGTTTTGTAGCAGGCTCCCGCAGACTGACAGGCCGGAGTGGCCATGCTGTCCGCACCCAAGTCACCAGTCACAAAAGTCCGGGATATGCTACGGCTCTGCCCGATCCCCTTCTCTATTCATGTGTGCTGAGCTTCTTGGATGCCCAAATATCCAGGTCTCGACGTTAGAGTTCGCAGCATCCGAGATGCGCAAGAGGGCACTTGGCCAAGAGCATCGCAAGGCAGCACTTGCAAAGCAGAGGGTTGCTTTAGGATGGGTACTCGTAATCCGAGGCAATGGAATTGGCCGAAGCCTTGGATGCCTTTGCGCGTCGAAGTTTGAATCATGCCCTCTTTTCAGGAGGCCCGCGAGAGCCAAGCCGCTTCTGAGTACACGCCTGGTCTTGAGCTGGGGGGCAATAGGCCGTGCAGAAGCACGTGGTCTGGCGGCATCTGAGGCGGATTACGACTGACAATGGCGTCATGCAAGCGTCCAAGCAGCATGAGGCTTGTCGAGCCCAGGGCGGTGCTGCAAGGGTCGGTTCTGCAGCACCAACTGGCAAGATGGTGTTTTGCACCCTCTTGTGCTTTGCAGTTAGGCTTAGCGAACAGGAGATGAGGCACTGACCAGAGATCTGGATTGGGTTTTGTGTTTTCTCCGAGTCTAAGAGCTGTCCATCCCTTCGTCTCGACTCCATGGCTTTTGCCCGGTAGGTTCGTCTCTTTCTGCTCATGATTTCCCGCTTGTGCCTCTTTTATGCTGCTGGTCCGTGCTTCTCTGCGAACCTAGATTTGTTGCGGGTTCATGGGGCCTATTTATTCGGGTTGGCTTTTTATTGCTCCCGGCAATCTTGGCTTTATGCTCCCGGTCCCTTTGCTGCGAAGCCGCAGAGAAAGAGGCGGGCAATGGGCAGAAGAACTAGGGATACAGCGACGACAAAAAAGGGCATGACGGGATAACGGGGACAGGAAGAAGGGGAGGTGCATGTGACAAACAAATAGGATGACGAGGAACAAAGGGGAGAAACCGTGTTGTTTCCTACTCTGCTTTGCTGGTTGCTTGCTATAGAAATCACAGAAGTGATTACCTCGATGATGCCATGCCCTGCTCTGTAGATACATCTAGTCAAGCAGTTTTCGGGATAATTGGTGTCCTGCCTCGAAAAAAGAAATTTCTTTGCCTCCAATGGTGAATCATGGCACTCTCTCCTTGAGTGTGAAGAGTCGTACCCTATTTCGTTTCATAGTGGTTTCGCTAAGATTCGATCCGTGGTTGGCAGCCCTCTGGATGGGCGTGGGCCTGTATGTAGTTTCCGCACGAGCTTGCCTTACGAATGCAAAAACGCACGCATTCGCAATCAGTCGCAATTGCAACGGAAATCGCAATCCTCTTCCTCCGTAGTCGGCTGAAAGATGCTAGCTTGCCACAGCGATGACCCCGCAAACCAGCTGTTCAGTGGGGACGTCCCGGCAATTGGGCAGGCAAAACAACAGAAGAGTGTCTTGAGCATCATCATGTCCTACTGTGAGTCACTACAGAAACATGTGAGGCGCATACCGTGGACCCTGTAGAAGCGGTGTGCAGCAAGAAACCTCTAGCAGTACCGAGAACCTCCCCGGCTGGCCCCGGCGGTCCGGAAAGCAGGGAGAACCAGTGTAAATACCGTCTTAAAATGTGCATAGAGCATTGCGAGCACCGACGAAGCCGAAGGCCGAAGGCTGCCCAAGACCGTGTGACGCTCAGCATACGATATGCTGACCCCTGTATCCCCGCCCCGCTTTGATAGCTTCGCCTGCAACTCCAAGACGCCCACAGCATCCACAGGGCCCTTTCCGTCATCGCAACATCCCGATAGCTTATTGCATGTTATATGCCAGGCACAGCACCTGGAGCGCACTTGGGAGCAAGCATCCGAGCCAAGTTCGTAGGAACAGAGCCCGAGCCGCACATAAAAGCGAGTCGAGCTGCACGCATATGCAGGGGCAGTGAGCGGCTGTAAGTGGGGCAAATCCTTGAATGCTCAAGTAGAAAATTAACCTCGACCGCAGCGGTCTGGTCCTTCCGCCCCTTTCTCTTTATGTTGGTGCACCTCGTTCGCATGTCATCCGGTCATCATGTTTGGCAGCCGTGCCTGCCGGAATGAAAAAGTCCCTGGTGCCAACGCTATGTGTGCAAACGTTTGCTTGCACGTGTGTTCGTTGAATTAGTTCGAAAACGGTGCCCCACGTCCAGACCGAGAAAAGAGCACGCCCCCACAGTAGAAAAGGCTCATATAAGCACTGACCGAACAAGAAAGGCCTTTAACAGACAGAGAAACATCGGAGAGGTTTGATGCAGTGGGGACTGCAGCAGGGAAGGGAGAAGCAGACAGCAGATGGATAGAGATTAGGGTTCAAAGGCGGTTCAGGCCTTGATTGAGAAAGGGTCAAGCTTTCACGAGTCATGTTCTTTTCCCGCTGTGCTGGTGCCTGGGCAGAGTTCTCGGTCCTGTGCTCAGTGGGGAGCTGGCATTCATCAAGTGTAAAGGCGGTTATTCGCATGGGTGGGGAAGGCAAGAGGGCGAAAATAATGAAAGACAGGGTCAGACACGTGGGATACGGAAGTCGTGACCGAAGGCAGGCCCGAAAGCGCTGGACATGAATATGAAGCCGTGAGCCGAAATCGTCGCGAGGCAAGGCATGCTTTCGGGACGCTGGTGCTGGGCTGGGGATGGGTGACAGCAAAGAAGCTTGTACCAAACGAAAGTAAGCAGGAAGCAAAGGAGGCCACAACATCTCTGCCGGCAGGAAGGATGCAAGGAATTATCGAGGCAACAGAGCGAGGACGCGGGCAATTGCGGGGGAGATACAGCTTCCAGATAAAGGTGGTTCCAAAACGTAACCAGTCGGTGAAACTCTGGTCCTCTTGGAAAACTTCTTGGTGTGTGATGGTTGTCGGGCCTGTGCTTTCGGCTTGCATGCAGACGCAGATCTATGTCATTGTTGCAGGCAGAAGCTCGGACAGCCGACGTCAGTGCTTTGCAGAAGGCTTTGTGGACTTGGCCGAGCCCTGTCTTTTCTGCTCGCTGTGTTGGCAAGCCCACACCCCACAACCTCAGACCTGCCCATCTGATGGACGATCCCGAAAGCACGATAGTTCTCGTGGTGGTAGCAGTAGTAGTACTAGTAGTAGTAGTAGCAGTAGTAGTAGTAGTAGTAGAAGAAGTAGTAGTAGTAGTAGTGGTAGTAGCAACAGTAGAAGTAGTTGTAGTATTAGTAGTAGCAGTAGCAGTAGCAGTAGTAGCAGTAGTAGCAGTAGTAGCAGTGGTAGTAGTGGTAGCAGTGGCAGTAGTAGTAGTAGTAGTAGTAGTTGTAGTAGTAGTAGCAGTAGTAGTGGTAGTAGTGGTAGTAGTGGCAGTAGTAGTAGAAGTAGTAGTAGTAGTAGTAGTAGTAGCAGTAGCAGTAGCAGTAGTAGTAGTAGTAGTAGTAGTAGCAGCAGTAGTAGTAGTAGTAGTGGTAGTGGTAGCGGTAGTGGTAGTGGTAGTGGTAGGGGTAGTAGTCGTAGTCCTAGTCCTAGCTAGTAGTAGCTGTAGTAGTAGTAGTAGTAGTAGTAGTAGCAGTAGTAGCAGTAGCAATACTGATCACGCGGCCGCGCAGTTGAGAGGCTTTCGAACAGGCTCGGGGCGCAACTTCTGTGCTAGAGGTCCCCACCAGGCTCCTTTTCTGAACAGTAAGGGTTTGTGCCTTTCCTGAGCCATGTGCCTCTCCGTTTTGCCACAGGTGCCGTTTTGATCCGCCAGGTCTCAATTCCTGGGCCCAGACTCTGTTTAAAACATTGCATCACTGGGTAGGCGGTAGGGTTTCCACTTCCGCGCAGTGGAGGGAGTCATTAGGGTTTTGTGTTTTGATGAAAGCAGTGGATGGCGCGACTGCCAGTGCACTCACAAAACTTCGCATCTCTTCGCAAGAATTCGTTCAAGACAGCATGTAGACGGTCAATACGTAGGGACGAGCCTGTCTCTTACAGAGGGCAGGTTCTGACGCCCAGCTTGATCAACAAACTAGGAGTTCGTCCTTCGCCCACCAGACGAGAGCTACAGGCACAGCCTGCCGGCTCCTCTGCACATGGCACAGCCTCTCGCAGAGCAGGGAAACTAGAACGCAGCATTCGTGTTCTTTCTTGGAATGCGGGCCACTTGGGCCAGCAGCAGTGGGGCGAGATCAAGACCTGGCTAGCCTCAGAAGCCTCTCAACACTGTGATGTTCTTGTTCCGCAAGAAACCCACCTTGGGTGGAAACTAGTGAATGTAGTGTATCAGGATGGTACTGTATCTCTTCAGCTTCTGCTCCGGCAAGGAAACATTCCCCTCAAAAGGATAGCTCCAAGCGTAAGACCAGACAGCTCCCGCAAGGAGGGCCGTCAACAACCCGTGCAGACGGGGTCATGATTCTGTTTTCGCCAAAGTTTGATGCCAAGAGTCTCCGCTGGAAGGAATGGAAACCGGGAAGAGTTCTTGAAGCACGCGCTGGTCTGGCAGGGATGCGACGGGTCATGCAAGTAGCAATCCAACCGCGGATGCAGCATCTGTGAGTGCCAATGCTCGTATTGTGGGACTTGAGAAAAATCTTTCAGAGTTGCAGGTTAAACATGAACAGTTGCTAGAGCTTGTAGGGGATCTGTATGCGCAGACAGAGGACGCTGCAGGACAGGCAACAGCGTCGTGGCCAGATTGGACTTGGCCCGAAAAGCATGGTGTAACGTGGCCAACATTCGAGGCTCCATCGTTTGCAGCGCCCCCAGGTCTGAACAGCAATCTTCCTGGTGCGAGTGGCCAGGATAATGCACAATATTTCAGCATTGGATCTCCGGGTCCCAGTGGGGTTAATCAGCAGTCGTGTGAAGCAGAGTTTGATTGGTGGGGAGATACGCATCATGCAACAACGGCAGCTGGAATGGCTGCTGCAACAGGTGGGGAAAACCCGCTTAATCTCGCAGCTGCAACGGCTGCCAGTCAACCAGGAGTTCAGCAGATGAGTGTTGCTGCTCCAGTGGACAATGCCGCTAATGCCATCAAGCAGGATTCTGATGATCTTGATCTTATTCCCAATGAGCGCTGGAAATGCTTACTTGAGGTACCGGCTTTTGATCCTAAAGACGGTGCGGGGTTGCCATGGGAACTAGGCCTTAGGTTTGATGTGTGGAAGAAGCAGTTTCTGACACTTGCGTCAAACGTTCATGTCAAATTTCCAGATTATGTATCGCTGTGCTTCAAGAGTGCACAGGACAGACATGATGTTCAGGCCGAGGGACGACAGGCACCTCCATTGAAGCCGATCGTGGGGTTTCCAGCGATGTTTGAGTCCAGAATGGTGATGGTGTTGTTGCGTGTGCTTCCTGAGGGCATCAAGACACCAGCACTTGAGTCAGACGAAGGGGGTCAAAAGATTGATTCGTTGAGACTGCTTGAGGAATTGTACCTGTGTGTCAGACCAGGTGGCTTGGAGGAGCAACAAACCCTGGTCAGATTCTTGAGGCAAGTGAATCCCGTTGCAACAGCTCGGCGAGGCCATAGAATTGTTGCGTCGATGGAGGCTTGCCAAGAATAGGATTGCTTCATTATCTTTGTCAGAGGTGCCTGCGTATGAGCAAATCAGCGGCATTCAGAAAATGCTTAAGAACCTGGAGCGGAAGCATGACAGCCTTAGGACCCGCCTCTCCTTGATCCGCATACATCCTGATGTGCAGTTGGCTCGCCCGCAAGGGGTGCTGATGGTTCTGGAGTCAGTGGAACAGGAACTTCGGCAAATTGCTGCCGACGAAATGGCCAGGGATAATGCCGGGGATAACACTAATGCTAGTGGCAATCAGGCTAAGGGTAAGGAGCAAAAGGGAAAAGGCAAAGACAAGGGCAAAGGTGATGCAAAAGGAAAATCAGCCGATGAAAAAACCACCCCAAACCCTAAAGGCAACCCTAAGGGTAAGGGTAAGGGTGATAAGGGCGAGAAGCCGGAAGCGCAACCGAAGAGAAAGTGCTTTTATCACAGTCGTAAGTCAGGATGCCGGTTGGGAGATGCTTGTAAGTACTTGCATGAAGGACCTTCAGGTGCATCGCAGAGTGATCCTCAGGGGAACAATGCACAGGCTCTCCTGGGTGCCGAGGCGCAGAAGGCAAACGCTAAACCGAAAGCCAAGCCCAAGCCAGCGGCTAAGGCTGCTGCTACATCCATCGTATCGTCATCCTTTGTCGGCATGCATATGTCAGCGCCTCCCAGTGAGAATCCTTTTCCACATCGTCAGATTCCACATTGGCCTTTATGGGTGTGTGAGCTGAATCTTGAGCAGTATCGCGATTGGCAACGGTACCCGTATGGCATGACAGGCTACTTCACAAGTGTAGAACATTCGCGGATGGTCCCGAAACGCCAGGACCTCGAGGCAAATCTGTGGATTCACTTGAGTGAGTGCGAGGTTGAGAAGTGGATTGAAGAGTGGAAAGATGGGATGGCGATGAAGATTCATTCCGATGCGGGTTTGATTGAAGCTCAGATTGTGTCAGCATGGAACCATGAAACATGTGTTCATGAACCGGGATTCTTGGTAGCAACAGACCTTGAGTCGGAGGACCCATGTTACAGGGTGTTGGTGCTTTCGGCCAATCGGCCAGGATCGCCGGTGCCTTTCAATGCGATGCAACAGGCACGTCTGGAGCATGATCGAAGGCTTGAAGGCCAGAGAGCGGTGGATCTGGTGTGCAACGTAGCTGATGCCGGTGAACATGAGTCGGACGATCAAGGGTCCGAGGAGGAGTCAGATTCTGGATCCGATGTGCGCACACTTTCTTCCCTTGATACAATTTCTACTGAACCGTCTGATTATGAGATGCCTAGGAGAGGGATGATCTGGGGAATTCACCTTGAAGAGCGGGAGTTCAGAGATTGGATCAGACCGGGAGTTTTAGGTGTTTATCATAGAGACGACTTCATAGCAGTGATTGGGGATGAAGGGCTTGAGATGCGCGCGTGGAGGACCTTGATGCATTTCCGAGAAAGGAACACATGGCCGGATGATCCAATCGACATTAGCTATGGCCAGCACATCACTTTCACACAAGAGGTTCAGGTGCAGAGACTGCCCATAGGGTGTTCAGCGGAGCTTTTGCAGTATGCGTTCAGGATTCTAGAAAAAACCGGGAGTTTCTTTTGGGATTGTGCGCTTATCCCAGCAGACCGCAGATCACACATCATCCGATCCGTATGGAAAGGCCTGCAGGTGCACCCGATGCCAGGACACCCACAGTCCCTCCGCCTCCGGGTTATGGAGGTGCCTATCGCGACCACTTCCCAGAAGTCAACCAGCTTCATAGTGCGAACAAGGGAGTATCAGGACACAATGGAGTGTTGCTGGACTCTGGAGCGAATGAGATTCTTCGCCAACAGGAGAGTCGCCCAGCAAGGTCATTGCCGTTGCCGCCTACGCTTGCAAATGGAGAGTCCATTGACGCTTTTCGCACTAAGGAGGGTGAGGTTGTGGTTGTAGGCGTTGAAAACGGGGATATCATTTGTGGGGTGAATAGGTTAGTGCAAGTAGGCTGCAAGTTTGAATGGGATAACATCAATGGTCCCAGATTACACTTGCCTTCAGAGATCGGCGGAGGTGAAGAGCAGCTGCGTGAGGTGAATGGACTGCCGTTCATGACACGTGCCACCTTCCTTAAGCTAAGACCCTTAATGACCCGACATTGGAAGAGCCATCACACAGCTTGTGTTGCATCCGTTGTCGAATCGACGTCCGAAGTGTGCAAAATCTTGAGCTGGTCAGATCTCGAATCTCGATCATGTGATCAACGCTCAGGAGGAGACAGCAGTTCAGGCAGTTGTGGCAGATCCCCCGGGAGAGGAGTTTGCTAAACAATTGCTTGATAAGGTTACTCTTACGCATGCTGATGTTTTGGATGCTATCAATCGAGCTGGCCTGAAACCAACGATTTCGAACAGGATGAACAAGATCGAAGGTGATCAGGAAAAGGTTTCCATATGGGTCTGTGGAG